TGACGAGGCCAATTTTGGGTCGCCGGAAAAGAGAAAAGTTTATGACGGGAGTTGGACGTGAGTAAAACGACCACAACACACCCGGCAACGAGACATGAACGTAGCTGACAATGATCTCTAGGGAATGGGCGCAAAGAGTCAAGCCCTCGGATTCGCTTATTCGATCTGAAGAGTAGCGCCTAACTGGGAACAACTGCGCACAAGGCGGAAATATGCGCCATCAAAACTCACACACCACTCTACTTTATATTAAAACACCACAAAAAAGAGCTTCCCGGACTCCGGCGCCACTGGCTACTCGCTAGTAATGAGATATCGGACCGGTGGCAGCCTCGAAGTGGCACTCCGGGAACAGACCCGAAGGAGCCAATCTGCTGTTGCATGGGACGGTGTTCAGGGCGTTCGGATGAGGGGAGGACATGGAGATCGTGGACATCAAGCAAGCATAGGCGGGACGTGTTGCTGCGCGATATTGGTATTGCAACGGACTACTATTTCAATTTTCATTTTATGCCCGGTTCAACATCGCAAAACCCAAGTAGAAGCTTCCTACCCTCAACTGACCGCCCCTGTCTGCATCCATCCACCCACACCCCTTTCCAACTTTCCCCGTCTGTGCATTCAACTCAAGCAGAAAACACCCCGTACTTATCAAAGAATTCAAACATCCACTCCGCCACCTGCTGCTCATTGGTCTCTAGAGCGAAATGGCCAGCATCCAACCAGCGCGTCTCGAGCTTCTTGACATCCTTCTTGAACGCCTCGGCGCCGGGGGCAACAAAGATCGTATCGGCCTTCCCCCACGCGGCCAGGACAGGGACCCCCGACGTCCGCAAATACTCCTGAAACTGCGGGTACAGCTTCACATTCGAGCCATAATCCTGGAACAAGTCTAGCTGAATCTCCTTATTCCCCGGCCGATCCATCAGCGCCTGGTCGAGGTAGTACGCCTCGGGCGCGATGGCCTCCGGGTGCGGCGAGCCGTTCTGGTACTGCCACTGCGTGGGCCCGAGCTCCAGCAGCGGCCGCAGCGCCTCGCGGTCCTCGCGCGCCCCGCTCGCCCACAGCTTCTGCAGCGGCGCCCAGAACGGCTGGCCCAGCCCCTCGTCGTAGGCGTTTCCGTTCTGTGACACGATCGCTGCCACCGCGCTGGGGCGCTCCAGCGCGAAGCGGAAGCCCGTCGGCGCGCCGTAGTCGAAGATGTAGACGGCGAAGCGGGTGAGGGAGAGCGCGTGGGTGAAGGCTGTGAAGGTTTGTGCGAGGCTGGCGAAGGTGTAGCTGTAGTTGCGCGCGGCCGGTACCGTGGTGAAGCCGAAGCCTGGGAGGTCGGGGGCGACGACCCGGTACCGTGTTGCTAGGAGCGGGATCAGGTTGCGGAACATGTGCGACGACGACGGGAAGCCGTGCAGGAGCACTACCGTGGGCGCGTCGGCTGGGCCGGCGGTGCGGTAGAAGATGTCCACGCCGTCTGCTTTGACGGTTGCGATCTGGGTGGCGGCCATGGTGGTTGGTTTGAGGTAAACTTGGGGTTGTTGCTGGAGAGGATCGGTTTGTTTGGGGCTCAGTATCGTGTTTGCGAGGCTGCTCTGGTACATACACGCTGGGAGACGATGGTGGTGCTGGAGTATCTATTCGAGGTTGGGTCTCGACTTCTTATATGCTATGCTCCTTGCCCGCCATGGACGTTATTCTTCGCCGTTTGCAGCGCGGCGCGGTAAATGCGTCTCGAGACATTGTGGCTCGCTTCATCCCGTGCGACTGCCAAGGAGCTTTCCTTCGCATGTCGCGCCCTGCGCTTGACTTGCGCAGCATATTCCAAATACTCTCAAGGGGTAGATGATCCGCCTGGTATGTTGGCGTGGATCTTGCGGCTGGAGGCTGCTAGTTTCAGCGGTAGAGTTGTGTTACTAATCCAAGCACTGTCTGCCGGATCGAAGTTATGTCATTGGCCTGTAAAGAAAAAAGTATGTGGTTGATTACTGAACCGCGCCCTTTTCCGGCCAAGCCATGTCACCACTTCTATGTGCGTGCGACATGACTAACCAAACTCCATCGGATGATTACACATACTACGGGGACTGGTGTTTGATGCAAGTTGGTAATATTTTGTTTACTCAACCTTTTCTGGTCGACTTGTGTTTGTCACAAGGAGTCAGGGGTACCATGGGCCATCCGCCTTTGTGCTTAACGAAACTCAATTACAATTACTTGCCTCCCAATGCAGGGACTCGACTGCAAGCGGCCCTCTGACAAGATCCCACGAGCGAGAACACAATTTCAGCAAGCGCCAGCTAGACAGTATTCCTTCTTGATGATGTCGGCCAGCTAGAAAGAGACCATGTTAGCCCAGACACAACTTAACCGAAAGGTCGCCATGAAAAACTCACCCTCTCCGCTGACGCATATATCGTGCCCATGGGAGCGCCCGAGAGCTGGAATGGCCAGACGCTGATATCGGCGACACGAAGCCCGTGGACGCCGTACACCTTCTGCTCGCTCGAGACAACCCCACCCAGCTCCCTAGGCATCATCGCGGCCGTGCAGCACTGGTGAGCATTGGACGGGTTGATCAGATCCCGCATGACCGCCGCGATCTGCTCGTCCGTGGTCACCCCGGCGCCAAAGGGGGCCGCCTCCGTCGGGCCGAGGGCTTGCATGGAGGGCGCCGCGAACAGCTCGCGGTTCTTGCGGAACAGCGCCGTGTACACCTGCAGATCGGTCGGGTCGGTGGCGGTGCGGAAATCGATGAGCGGGTTGGCGAGCGGGTCGGTCGAGTTGATGGTGACCGTGCCGCGGCTGAGGGGCTTGAGGTGGTATACCAGGGCGGCGTCGGCGGTGCCCCAGTGGACGGTCCCGACCCCGACGTTGGCGTTGGCGAACTGCTTCAGGAGCGCCTCGCGCTGAGCCTTGTAGCCCTTCAGCACGGTAACGTCGACGTCCGCGGGGAGCGAGTCAGCTGGGTTGCGGGCTTTGGCTGCGGCGATGATCTGCTGGTAGGACGATGTCGCTCGCTGTAGGGAGACCGTGCCGATGTTGCTGCTTAGGGTGCTAACGAGGGTGTACGCGCTCGGTAGAGACGCGTCGTACAGGGCTCGCTGCTCGGCGTTGAACGTGGCATTTGTGAGAAGAGAGCCGTAGTTGGGGACTTTGTTGGCGGTGACTAGACGCAAGTTGGTCATTAGATTTGGCTATTTGAGGCAAACAGGGATGGGTTGGCTTGCAGGTATACGGTATAGATAGAGTAGGCTGGTCTTGCAGGTTTTGGCCAACACCGGGAAGGTCCTGGATGAGAGGGATATTGAACTTTTTGAGTAGCTTCTTGGGGCCGATTCCGGATAGCTGGAGAATCTTGGGGGTGCCGAAACCTCCAGCAGTCAGGATGACTTCGTTGGTTGCGTATGCCGTTGAGGGGGAGGCCGTGCTATCGGCTGTTGTTGGCAAATAGCTCACGCCGATGGCTTTCTTGCCCTTGAACAATACTCTGGCCACCAAGTTGGAGGTGAGAAGGTGATAGTTGGGCCGCGTGTCCTTGACTCTGTCGTAATGGCTCCGCCTCGCGTGATACCTGGTCTTCGTGCTGGCTTCTAGAGCCGAGGGGATCCAGAAAACGCCTATTAAATATTGACGTGGTCAACATCCTCACGGCCGGAAATTTTAGTCGTCGAGTCTCCCGACTTACCCTGCTTGTTTCCGGAGAGAGGATCCTTGGCCGGAGGGAGTCCGACCTCGCCGGCGGCGTTCCACCAGTTTGCTGGAGATGATCAACATTCAATTCAGGAACTATCTCACGCTCCTACTACGTACCGCTTCCCGGATAAAAATAGTTAGGGTAGGAGTATTGCACCGGCCCAGAGTTTCCTCGGACCGAGTCATCCCACGAGATGTTCCCTGCAGCGGCGAGTGCAGCGTCTGGTGGGGTGAAAGTTTCGGCCTGCGTTCACGGCACCGGAGGTTAGCTCCCGTCACACCACAGCCCTAAGCCTCTCTCTGGGATGCAGACCTTCTTGAAGTAAGGCAACATGTTGTTCCAGCTCCAGCCAGAATTCCCGAGCGCACCCCAGGAATCATAATCATCCGCATCACCCCTACACCACGCCATGTCAGCAGCAGGAAACTTAACGTGAGCGGTGCTTGGCCGTATGCTTAACGAACCTCAGGTACACCATGGCGTTGATGGTGCTGCCGCCCCCCACCACCTGGGCGGCAATGGCCGTGACGGCCCTGTTGTTGAGACCTTGCTGGGGGACGCTGGTAAGACCAGGCCAGAAGTAGAGGTACGGCGCATAGGCCCCGGGCACGAGGATGCCATCCTGGCCTTGGTCCAAGGGGCCGGCCTCGATGACTAGCACGCTCACTACAGCGAGAACGGTGGATTAGCAATCTGGACAGAGCATGGCCAACACATCACGAGCCGTCAGCATACCGTTAGGATCCTCCGTCAGGCGGTCCGCGAGCGTGAGTCCCGCGATGCCGCCGCCGGCGATGATGAAGGTGTAGTTGGAGGAAACGGCTCGTTCGTCAATGACGGTGGCATGTCTGGGCACCCTGAATGACTCGGCGGGAGCAGCCGCGCAAAGGGGGGCGAGACAGAGCAGGGCTCCCGGAATGTAACGCGAGGACCGCATCCTGGATTCTTGGTGATCTGAAATGCTACCGCCGAGCTTGGTGAAGCGGACAGAGGATTGCCGTCCTTCTCTTTCTCAAATTCTCCTGCGCTGCGTCACCTCGAACCCTCCCCGCACCTTTAACCAAGCCACTGTCTCCATCCCTCCCCGGCCCATCGAATGCCATCCTGCAGCGCGATGCCGTGTTTCGACCGCTAACGCGGGTGATGGGATTACAGCGTTGCATCTGGCCGGAGCTTCCCCTGCCTTCCGATGCATGTCCCCGGGCAATTCGGCAGCGAAACTGTCCCCCTTGCTTCAAACTCTCCCACTCGGAACTTTCTTTCGTCGGATATGGACGCCCGAATTGGCTCGGGACACATGCCAAGCACCAAGACGCATGGCAACCCTGGAGGTGTGGTTTAAGCGACGAGGGCGAGTTGTCCCTGGCAGCAGAGGGAAGCAAGCCGACTGGCCAATTCCACGGCGCGCATGGGAGGAGCAGCCAGCTCTCGTTCGGGAAACACGAGGACCAACATCGCGCTATTTCTAGCACATTCAATAGCTCAGCTGACCGTCGATGTCAAAACGGTACTCGAGGGCGGTGCGAGAACCTCGCTCAAATGTGGTAAATCGGGACTCCGTAATTCGCGCAATATGCGCGCAGTCGGGATCGATAGTTGATGCAAGACGGCTCGTAAGCGAGGAGGTTTCCTGATCTGATGAAGGTCGATGAGGAGTTTGAGCTTGGAATTCACACTTCAACAGCATACCTGAAAGACTGGCTACTACAATGCTATAATCGACTTTAAATGCGAACAAAATGCTCACAATTCGTCCCTCGCTTTCAAGTGCCCGCTCAGTCCTTCACTGAGAGCCGTGAAATGGTCGAACAAGGGCGCATCTTCGCCCAAACCCCAGGCAAACACGCCTCCTAATCGTCTCTTGGCCATGATCAGCGGGAACTTGCGCTTGATGGCATCTGGAGTATCAAAAGTCCACCAGAGGTCTTCCTTGGCGTCCCAGTAATAAAACCCGCCCTGCTGGTCGTCATACACGCCGTGCTCGCGTGCTCTCCCAAACGACTCGGCCACTTCCTCGGGCACCGTGTCGTGCCACGAGAAGCCACCGCTGCGGCCGAGATCTCCCCCGGTATCTGGGTCTTCGAGCAGCAGGGTGGGGCAGCCCACCGGCGACGGGCCTGCGCAGGCGTCGTGCTCCGTTTTGAAGTACTTGGTGTAGAAGGCGAACCCCAGGTTGAGCTTCTCGGGGGCCGCGCCGGCGGAAATGTAGGCGTCGATGGCCTCGAGGCTTAGCTCAACGCCTGTGTGGTGCTTGGTCACGGTGTCGCGGCGGTTCATGAGATCGTACGTCATGACGTTCAAAAAGTCCAGGTGACGCATGATCTGGGGCACTGTCTCGCGGGTGAAGGCGAGCATATCCCGCGTCAGGCCTGGCACGGCAGCGGATATGAGTTTGTCGGGGCCGAGCGCGGCACGGAGCTCTGCCAGCAAGAGAGGGTAGGCGTTGATCTCCCAGGCTTTGGCTGAGTTGGGCACCTGTTTGTAGTCTTCGCCGTTACCGCTGCGGTTGTATCAACACCATGAGTTTGTGTGGCCCGGCCCAAGGCCTGGAAGCTTCCCTGGTTATTCCCAGTCAACATTGATTCCCATCAAGCCCCGTCCCCGTGACCCATTTTGGTAAAGTTTTCGGCAAAAGTCTTGCGGGGTGGCAAGGTTTAAATGGGCCGGTGGAGAAGCCATCTGTGTCACCCAGGCCGCCCAATGGCCCCCGGCACTTTGGTGGTGTTCGGGAAACCTTGCCCGGACGTCATTGACGGTACTGAACATCGGCCAGTCAGTTCTCCCATGGTCGTGGAATATACCCGGTCTCATGAAAGGCCGCAGCAACGTGGGTTACATGCTGGAGCTGGTCTATCGGAGGTGCCACAGGGTGTTGGCTGTCATCAAACAAGAAAATAGGCGGCTGTGTTTAGCGTAAAAATATCTGCGGGGTGAGGAGTGAATACCCTGTGAAGTACATAATTCTTCGCAAGTGCGACTTTGCCGTAAGGTTTCCCGCCATGGTAAGCGAGAAGAAAAAGAGGAAGTAGGGCAAGAGAAATCGCGTCGACGCCATTTGTGTAGTCAAGTGATTCAGGGAAAGTTCTCGAGATGGGCGCAGATGGGGGGGGGGGGGGGGGTTTGCGTTAGGTAGACAAGACAGCCAATGAATGCACCGGAGGGGGGGACACGGCGTTGCAAATTGAGAAACACTACTTGCTTCGATTGTTGCGCTACATCGAGCGGTTATATTGCGTCTCCTTTTGAAAGCTGAGGTCATGTATCCAGGACGCTGGCCTCCTCCCAGTCGCAATCACACCAAGACAATAATTAAGGACTCGGATTTCGAAGTGGTACAAGTCATGAAAGCGATCGGAAGCGCGATCTTCCCGGCGGGTCCCTAAAGTCAATTATGTACGTCTAATCCCAAATTGGCAATTGGTCTCCACAATCGAATTGTCGTTCTTTCGGTTCACGATAATTGTATTCTTTCAATAGTAAACCTATTCAATTTCCGTTCCACGCATGAAGGCTTATCTCATGAACTTGAAAATCAGCTGGATTAGAAGGACACTCGCGCTGTGCCAGGAGACAGGATAACAAGGACTCACAGTTTGAGAGCGCGACCGATCCAAGTCGGTGATAAACTAACTAGTACAAATTGGGAATAATTCGCTTGAGTGCTTCGAAATTTTTGGCGATTGGCGGGCATCCTCGAAAAAGCCCGACTCTCCAACAACATCTAGCAGCAAGCCTGCGACCTATTTTGACCACCTTTATCAATTGTGAAATCGGAAACGGACGGCATGAGCTGAGATTGCGGAATTGCCACCTTTTTGCATCAGCCACCCTCTTCGCCATGCTGGAGAATCTCTGCACCCTCCCGTTGTCGGCGGACCTGTTCACGCAGGTACTGCACCCGTCCAAGCCACTCCTCACTGTCGGCTTGTCCAATGGCCGCGTCGAGAGTTTTCGGTTACCGAGCGAGGACGACGATGGGAACGGGAGTAGTAGCTCAAACAGCGGCAAGGGCCTGATCAAGAGCGTGTGGAATACACATCGGCACAAGGGGAGTTGTCGCTACTTGGCTTATAGCCATGACGGAGAATGTGAGTGGGAAATTGGGGGTTTCCATGTGGCATTGGCGACGGTATGTGACTGACGATGGATCTGCTAGCCCTCTACTCGGCCGGCACCGACTCTGTGGTCAAGCATTTCTCCCCTGAGACCGGCATCGTCGTCTCAAAGATCGGCCTACCCCCCCGCAACAGCGCCACGAGCACGACGGATTGCCCCGCCATCATCCACGCCCTCTCCCCGCAAACCCTCCTCCTGGGCACCGATTCGGGCGGCCTCTACATCTTCGACCTCCGCGAGAACGGCAGCCTCAACCCGAAGCCAGTGCGCAAGCATGTACCGCACGCCGACTACGTCTCGAGCATCACGCCGCTGCCAGCCTCGGCCGAGAGCACCTCCGGCTTCTCCAAGCAATGGGTATCGACAGGGGGGACCACACTGGCCGTCACAGACCTCAGGGCGGGAATAGTCGCGACGTCGGAAGACCAGGAGGATGAGCTGCTGTGCTCCACCATTATCCCGACAGGGTTGGGCCCTAAGCGCATGCGCAACAACGCCGTTGTGGCCGTGGGCACCGGCGGCGGAATTTTGACGCTTTGGGACCGCGGCGCGTGGGATGACCAACAGGAGCGCATTTACATTGCGGCTGGGAAGAACAAGAGGGACGGCGATAGCCTGGACGCCATCGTGCGCGTGCCCGACGAGCTCGGGTGGGGGAAGAAGGTGGTTGTCGGCGTAGGCGACGGCAGCATGGCTGTCGTGGACCTGAAGCAGCGCGAGGTGCAGGCTGTGTTGAAGCACGACGAGATCGAGGGCGTCGCGGCCCTGACGTTTGATTACCAGAACCGCCTGATTAGTGGTGGCGGCAGGACGGTCAAGGTCTGGGCCGAGTCGGGGGTCGAGAGCCACGAAGACGAGGAAGGCGAGCAGGAACCCACCGCGATCAAGAGGGCTGCGGATAGCGATGATGACTCCGAGGGGGACGACAGCGACAGCGATAATGAGCGTCCCAAAAAGGAGTCGAAGAAGAAGAGGAAGAAGGGCAAGGGCATCCAAGGAAGGAGCGTGGCCTTCCCGGGATTGGATTAAGTCGGCGTTTGCACTCCCCGTGCAACGGCTTGTATTACTGATGGCCTGTCGGTGCCACGCGACTCTGGCTTGTCTAAGGTAGGCTGCGGATCGCGACCGGCACACCTCTGCACACTTATTCTTATCCGGGCCCGTCCCAACTCCCCGCTCTGGTGCGGTAAATGGAGATTTCGCCGAGTTGTCGGCCTGGCGTTTTGGAGTCCGTCAGGGCTTGGAGTGAGATGAGTCTGACCTCTGTATATATGTGGCTCAGCCAACTCCCTAGCTCAAGCAGGACTCATGAGGTACTTGTCGGTAAACTACAGGAGCGAAGAGGCAAGAGGCGAAGACGGCGAAGGCGATAGGGAGCCTTCACAACCTCGCTCAACGATACCAGTTATACCTGGAAAATCCCTTTTTTCAGGTTGTATAAAACGGGCCAAACGGCCCACGTGCCTTGAATAAGCAGTTCAAAATTCTCATCCTTGACCACCAATTTCCAAACCTGTGAGATTCCCATACGCCGCGAATGACACTGGATCTGGGCTTGGTTTCCTTACTTCCGGCTAACACAGCTTCTTCCAATGCCACGCCCCTTTGCTCTTATCTTGTCGCTTCTCTGGAAGCTTATGATACGAGGCGTCGGACTTCTGATCCTCCATTTCCTTTTATACAGCAAATCAAGCGGCCGGCCGAGTGTAGTCGAGCTCTCTTACACGCCGCCATACCTCCCGGACGGTCCTCTCTTGCCCTTCGCGTCCCGACTCCGTGGTTGAGGGCCCTGCGGGACTACAACGGAGTAAGCCATGGTGACGGGATATGGGTGCAACCCGGGGAAAATTACTCACCGTATAGCCAAGTATAGCCGACTTCCCAACCCCACGTCCTCTATCCGCGCGGTTGCGGGGTCCTTAGGAGGGTTCGCAGTCGTTACCAACCCGCCGGCTTCTTGGAGGATGGCAATACCAGCGGCGACATCCCTTTGAGACGGCATTAGCACCCCATGATGGGCGTTCAGTCACCATCCGAGAGCCTCAACTCACCATTCCCAACACCCACCCTCCCACCAAATATCAAACGCCCCCATCGCCGTGTATGCAAGATCCAACGTCGCGCTTGTTTGTCCCACCGTCAGCAAACCAGCAGCCCAAAACAAAAGAGCAACAACAGCCTCCACATACCTGCCCAAACTCCTCACACCATGCACCATCCCCCCCCTTCCCCCCCCTCCCCCCCACCTCCGCCGCCATATTCACAAAGCTCTCCACCTTCCGATACAAATTCCCATCCATCCGATCCTTCCTATCCTTCCCCCACTCGCACGAAAACACACACCCACGCGGCGCATCCACCGGCATAGGCGGGACGGGGCAGCGGACCAGTGGCAGGCGCTGCGTCTCGTTGAGCCAGGCGCCGCGGCCGCGGCACGACGTGAACAGCTGGCTGAGCAGCGGCGCACAGATTACGCCGATGGCGGGCTGGCCGTGGACGATGAAGGCGATGGATACGCAGAACATGGGCACCAGGTGCGTGTAGTTGACGGTGCCGTCGAGCGGGTCAACGCACCAGGTGGGCGTGGTGTTGGAGATGAGGTAGGCGCGGGATGTGCCTTGGGAGTAGGTCTCTTCGCCGATGAAGCTGGGGATGGGGGTTGTTAGTTTGGGTGGAATGGGGTCTGGGGGGAGGGTGACTTACGCATGGTCGGGGTATTGTTGGTGGATGGATGTCTTGATGAAGGCTTCCACGTCTAGACGAACTGTTAGAGCACCGGGGGTAGGTAACTGGCACGGGAGCCTGTGGCTCACCTTCGTCGGTTTTTGTTACGATATCTACCGAACTGTCTTTTTCGACAACTTCCTGTGTGTTCTCGCCGTTGAATCTCGACTGGGCAGCGTCGAGGAGTAGCTTGCCAGCATCCTTGCCGAGTTGTACAGCGAAGGCGTAGATCTCGTCCAACTCCCCTTCTGTGAGCGACTTGGTATGCATATTTACTGTTACCAATCGGGGCTGATTGAGCGTGCTACACTTTGACTTGTGTGGTTGACTAGGCTATTGGAAGTAAAAGCAGCCTTTTCGCTGACAGGAAACAGGAGTCATTTTCTCCAGCAGGACATCCGCGAACGGAGGCAGGCGGCCGGAACCAAGCCTCGCCGGGACTCCGTGACAGAGAGCCGCTGGAAGCCGAGCTCGACAACGGACATGTTCCGTCCTTCCCGGGTCCTAGCGTCCACGTTCAGTCCGGGGTGCCTCCAGACCCACTTCCCCGGATCGGCGGGGCACGCGGCGTGTGGTGTTGCTCTCATGGATGACGAAGGGGCAATGGTCATATGAATATATCACACAGCATAATGCAACCCTATGACATCCATTCCGAGCTCGCCATGCCAAACTCTCGTGTTGCTTGAGTTTCCCGGTTTTTGCTAGATGTTTTCATCACCTATTCCGAGGTCGTCGCGAATCGGCATCCGCCGGGAGAGTCTTCACCCGGGAGTGGCAAGCGGAGTGGGGCCGGCTTCTTGCCGGAATGTAACCCGGAACAGCCGTTTGACTGCGGGTGAACACTTACTTCGACTTGGTGGGTAGTGGTCGGTGTTACAAGGGAAAGGGGGGTTCCGGCATTAGCTGCAGGAATCATAGCAACCAGTGAACCGGCGTCTGAGGAACGCCAAAAGCGCGCGGGCGAGGTCGGGTATTGGGATATGTTGGCACCTGGTTAGCATTTTTTAGATGAGATGTTGTGTGAGCACACAGGACTGGAAGATGATACTACTGTAAACCTAACAACAGGAAGTGATGCCACTGCGTGGGTTAAGCCCACGCAGGGCGGGGCCGGGCGGTCTGGAAAGGTGGGCCCGGAATGCCGGCGCCCGCAACACCCCCCCTCAGACCGGCCTCCATCCGCCCCGGCATGAAGCCATCGCCATCTTTCTTAATCTAGTACATGTATATCTTCGTGGTGTTTTACTTCGCCCACGGAATCTTCTTCGCTCTCATGCCCATCATCCCCACAAATGCCGCGTGTTTCTCCTTCGATAACGGCTTTGTCAAACCGTCGGCTGGCATCTGTGCCCCGGGCAAATGGTTGACACTCAACTCTCCTTTCTGAACCTTCTCAATTATCCACTTGTAGCGGATATCAATCGTCCGTGTGCGCGCTCTGTTCATCGGGTTAAGTACCGTTTTGTACGCGTTGTTGCTGTCCGTAAAAATCACTGTCGGTATCTTCTGTGGAATGCCACAGTCCTTCAAGATCTGCGACACCCACATTGTCGACAATGCGGTGGGTGTCAAGTTGGTAAATTCGGCTTCCGTCGTACTCAATGCGACGAAGGTTTGTTTCTTTGACTTCCAGAGTACTGGTGCCCCGGCAAGGAAGACCGAATGGCCTCCTGTCGATTGTCGTGATGGTAGTCGGTCGGCTAGCGATGCATCCGCAAACGCCATCATTCGCATGTCGTCGCAGCTAATTTCGTCGCCGCCGAACTCAATGCCGAGATCCGTTGTGCCTTTCAGATATCGAAACACATGCTTAAGTAGGTCCAGGTGCGCTTGTGATGGGCCAGCGTTGGCCTCCGCCAGCCTCGAAACGGTATACGCGATGTCGGGTCTTGTACCACACGCAAGCCAATTGAGGGAGCCGGTATCTTTGATATACGCCTTCTGGCGTTTCATCACTGGTTCCCATGTCGCCGGCAATTCCATTTTACTGGGCCACGGTGTTGGCGTCGGATGGCAGTCTGACATTTCTCTCTTTGCCAGTAATGCCCGTGTGTAGCTTTCTTGTGATACGAAGATCTTCTTTTGTTTGCGATCGCGGACGATGTCGAAGCCCAGGAACCGTTTCACCGGGCCGAGTTCTTTCAATTCGAACTGCTTGATAATTTCGTCGCGGACCGTGTGGATCATGGCGGTCGAGGGCGCCGCAATCAAAAGATCGTCGACGTAAAGCACCAGAAGAATGTCGTAGCGTTTGTGTCGAAACAAACAGGCATCTGTTTCGAGTGCCTTGAAGCCTCTTTCTTCGAGTAAAGGTTTGACCGTGTTGAACCAGTATTGTGGACTTCTCTCCGCAGGCCGTAAAGTGCCTTTCTCAACCTGCAAACCATGTCAGGCGGAATGTCCAAACCTTCTGGGGGCTCAACGTAATAGTCGATGCCCTTCGGAATCGGCGTGTTCAAGAACGCTGTTATGAAGTCGTATTGCAGGCATTCCAAGTCTCGCACTGCGACGACAGCAAGAAATGTACGGACTGAAACGCTGTTGACGACGGCGGCAAAAACGTCTTCACTATTCCAAGAGTCTTTGTCGAAATTGCCACAAACAACCCATCTTGCGCGTGGATCTGTTGTTCCCGTTGACGGATTCATTTTTTCGTCAAATACCCATTTGCTCGGCAAAATCGTCATGCCTGGGCGTTTCGGAATCAATTCGTAGACTTCTTTTGTCGCGCAAGCTGGCATCTTGTTTCAACATCGCCTTGAGCCAGTAATCCTTGTAGTTCTCAAGGCGTTTCGCCTGTCGATGGTTCTTCGGTATTTGGGGTTGCAGGTATTGCGCAATGTCGTTCTCGACCTTCACACTTGAAAGCGCCATGCCAATTGTTGGTTCGTCGGGTTCAGGGATATCCAGGTGCGCCGCATAAAACGACTGTCCCGGCAATTCACCCCTGCTCAATTTAGCATAATAACCTTCCTCTGTGCCGGTACCGTATTTAGCCTTTTGGCGCCGCGGGCGGGTCGACAACGTAGTCGGTGCCACTGTTCCGGGTTCGTCGGTCACCAAATTGCCAATTCCTGGCGACAAATGGTTAATTGGCACTGGAAGATCTCTCCCAATCTCCATGCGATCCTCCGCATCAAGCGTTGGTTCTGGAGTGGCCTCTGGAGTCGGTAATTGAGCGACATGTTTTTCTTTCTGCATTTCCGTTGTTTCGTCGCTCTGTTGAGGTTCGTTCTCGATTGCGGGCAGTTCATTTTCTGTCGCAGTGGAATCCCCCCCCTGAAGGCTAATCGTTGTTGTTGTTGTTTGATCCGGATGGGTAATTGTCACCCAGTCTTGTTTTTCCACGACCGCTTCTTCTTCTTCTTGCGTTGTCGTGTCGGTAAAAACTGCTTCGTATTCGACATCCGTTCCGACATCTTCGTCAGGAACAAAGTCTGGGCCTTTCGTTGAACTTGACTGCGCTGGCGCGAATGATCTTCCCGGTCTTCGGATTCCCAAATCCAGTATATTTTGCCGATGCAGGTCAGCGTAACCGATCAGACGTCCTTTCTCGGCGCGCGCGGCAAACTTGTCGGATTGGACCCGGTATGTTCGGTTTGACGTAGTAATACGCCTCGCAAAAGTAGGCTCGAAAGTGGGTGATGTGTGGCGTCCATGTCGACTTTGGCATGCCGACACCTTTCGCAAAGGCCTCTTGTGGGCACCTGTTGCCCGTATTCGCATTCGTGGGCAGTACGTTTTTGACTTGAACGACTGATTCCATCACGAAGGTCCAGAGGTGTTCTGGAATCTGATACGCAATCATCGTCGCGCGCGTCTTATCCAGAACCTCCCTCGCCGCGCGTTCAACTTTGCCGTTCATCCACGGCGTGTGTGGAGGGGTCTGAAGGACCACAATGCCTTTCTCCCTCGCCCACCTCTTGAACTTATCGTCAACGAATGGAATAGGCGATTGTCCGAATTCGGTGCCGCCATCAATGCCGATCATCTTCACCCAACGACCTGTCTGGGTGTGAACCATGACCACCCAGTCCTTCAACAGGTCGAAGATCTGACCCTTTGTGCTGGTGTATTTGACCCAGTGGAAGTTCGTGTCGATGTCAATGATGTGAACGCTGTATTTATATCCCAACGCTCCCGGTTTTTCATGAGTAACCGTGTCGACACGAATGAAGTCAAGTGGATTATCGCCTTGGATGGGGGCTGATTTGCCCAGTTCGTCCGTCATCTTTCCCATTGTACAGCCTTCGCAAAAGTGATCTTGTTTGGCGGTCAATTCGATGCCTGCACGCCGACATGCTTCTTCAACAACTGATTTGCCGGCATGCATTAGCCTTCTGTGCATCTTGCGGTATGGGACTGACGCCATCTCTGGTTTCGGTTGGTTTCCTCTGTTGGTTGAGGTCGGCAGTGCATCTCTGACAGCTGGTACGCCTCGATAATCGTACAACTCCATCAAGGAGGCTTCCTGTCCCTTTGTGATACAGCGTGTCATTGTCTTGGTCCCAACGAACGCCGTCATTCTTCATTCTCAGACCTGCAAGTAAATTGCAAGGTGCTGATGGTTGGTAAACTGCTTCGTCAATTTCGATCGTCGCATGATTGCCTGTCGGGAGTTGAACCGTAAGACTAACGGTTCCGCCCAGCCAATTCTCTATCAATTCTCCCGTTGAGGATATCGCCAATGACGCCTCTGGGAGTGTTTCCCAATTCCTTGAACCACTTCTTGTCATTGAACGCTGGCGTCGCGCATCCAGGTATCGTAAATCACGACATTCCGAATTGCCTCTGTCGACACGCCTGATGCCTTGAGGGCCTGTTGGACTTTAGCGCTCAATTGCGCCACGGGCCTCCCCAAAAATGCGGTGCCATGTTCATCATGTTCATGTCCGGATGGTTGCTTGTAAACAGGAGATTCATCGGGCGAGACTGGTTCGCCACACCAGACTGTTGATGAAGAGGGCCCGTTGTCGACGAAGATGCCGACGACGATTTAGTCAATGATGTCGATGTCGACGAGGAGGTTTTCGTTGCCTTCGCCTTGAGGGCACTGTCTCTCTTCGGCCAGTTTTCCGGGGCCTGTTCCGGATTGCACCACCAGCAGATTGATGCCTTCGGGTAGTGGAAGCCACAGCCTCCGCAATGCTCCTGTCCAGTGTAAATGTCCTTGTCGCATTCCTTGCAGTCAACCCTCTGGTTTTTCGACTTCCAGGAGTTCTGTCTCTCGTTATTCTTGTTGGTCATCGAAGTCGACCGAGTGTTTGACGACGACGATGTGGCATCTCCTTCTGCCCTCTTCGTCTTATCCTTGCCGTATTTGACGTTGCTCAATGCCGGCTGGGTCGCCTCCTGGGATGCCAGTTCGTTGAATTCCAGCATCAAATCCGCCCACGACAACTTGTTGTTTCGAAGATTCGTCATCGACCTGGTATACAGATCCGGGTAGGCGTCGGAAATCGCCTGGATGGCGTTCAAGGTTGCCGCTGACTCTTGCATCTTGTAATCAGTCTCATTTATCCGCTGATACAGATAGTTGAGCCGAATCTGAAATGTGGTGAACTTGTCATAGTCGCCACGCCTGATATTGAAAAACTCTCGTGCAATGTCGTATGTCGCTTTGTGGGTGTACTTATCGAAGTGCTGTGTCAGATGGTCAAATGTCGATTTCGGATCCTGGTCGGTAACCTTCCAGCCTTGTCCTCGCAACAAGGTCCACACGTTGATATCCGCAATTGTGCTCTGGATGAGGTTGTCAACGTCGATCCGGTCGTATCGCCACTGGCGCTTCTCGTCGTCGTCCGCCGGTTCCGGCACGCCGGTAAGGATGTGGGCTTCCAGCCCTGCGCTCTTCAGTGACGTGAGCAACTTGTCACGCCATGTCAAGAAGTCCTCCTTTTTCTTGAGCTCTGGAACTTTCTCAAACGTGGTCTTCTGTCGCTTTGTCGATTTCTCAGCTAGCTTTTTCTCATAATAATTCTTTTGAGCCTCAAGCATTTGAGTCATCATCGCCTGCATTTGTTGCAGTTGTTCCGCCATTTGACTGATTTTGATGTCGTACACTTGTGTCGATAAATTGATGTCGCACACTTGTGTCGATAAATTGGAATGTCGGGTGTGGTTCGTTGACTTCAAAACGAGATTCCACACAATCGACGATTTTTCACTCAATTCCAATCTCTATCAATTGAGAGAATTAACAGGAAGAGTATCAACAGTAATAAAAGGAAGTGTCAGGGGCTCATAACCTGTGTGAGCACACAGGACTGGAAGATGATACTACTGTAAACCTAACAACAGGAAGTGATGCCACTGCGTGGGTTAAGCCCACGCAGGGCGGGGCCGGGCGGTCTGGAAAGGTGGGCCCGGAATGCCGGGCGCCCGCAACAGATGTTTTTATGGGTTGCAAAGATACAGCATAAAAGTAAATACATTCCGCCCGTGAAGAGGCGCAACTCACCGAGCTCCTTCTCCTCCCTCACCGAAGTGAGACCTTTTATATACAAACAAAACCCCCTTTATTTGACCCCCCTACCACAAAAAACCACAACAACCACGAACCACCACGACCAGGAGGAGCGATTACCACCGACACACACCCACAACCATAACACGAACCCACTTTCCCCCCCACCCTCCTCATCAACGGCCCCAACCTCAACCTCCTCGGCACGCGCGAGCCACACATCTACGGACACACCACCCTCGCCGACGTCGAAGCCCTCGCCCGCACGCAAGCCACCTCCCTCGGCGCGACCCTCTCGACCTTCCAATCCAACCACGAAGGCGCCATAATCGACCGCATCCAAGCCGCCGCCGGCCACAACCCCACCACCACCACTTTCAGACTCTACAGCACCCCAACCATCCCTCATAATCATCAACCCGGCGCGCTCACACACACCAATCGTGGCGGTGCGGGACGCGCTGCTGGGGCGTGGGGGTGCCGTATGTGGAGGTGCATGTGAGCAACGTGCATGCGCGGGAGGGGTTCCGGCGGCATAGTTATTTGAGTGACAAGGCGGTGGCGGTGGTGTGCGGGATGGGGGTGTTTGGGTATCGAGCGGCGGTGGAGTTTGGGGTGGGGTTTTTGAAGGGACGGGGAGGGAGGGAGGGGGGGAGCAAGATTCCCTTGTGGGAGATTAGGGGCTGAACCGGGGGGTTGGTTACGTCGCGAGCAGCATGTTCAGGCCGAGTGAGAGAAAGGATAGGGTGGGGGTTGGTGTGAATTTTGATACTACCATTTCGGATGTGGGTATTTTTTCCCCCTT